AAAAACCAAAGGGTATTACTTCTACAAAAAATCGGAGAACAAAGTGTTTGTTGCTCGCGATGGTGTCTTTTTGGAGAAGGAGAACCTTTCCAAATGACAAGTGGGAGGAAATCCGAACTTGGCGAAGTTCGTGAGGATGAGCAATAAAATAAAAACAACAGTCAAAGTGCTCAAGCAGCATCTGTTGACGAAGGTCAAAATATGTAAAGTCGAACCGACAAGGCAAATGCTCAGCCCATTACCCTACGTAGGTCTCAAAGGCCGAGATCTTAACCTGATAGATAGCTTGTATTGTCTTTAACTGAGAATCAAGACATCCTAATCATGAATGGAGATGAGCCGGCAACCTACAAGCAAGCGATGGCAAGCACCGACTCTGCTAAATGGTGAGAGGTCATGAGATATGAAATGGATTCAATGTTTGAAAATCAAGTCTGGGACTTGATTAAATTACCTGAAGGCTACACACCTATCGGATGTAAGTGGATTTTCAAGTTAAAAGCCGACAAAGATGGAAATGTATTCATTTACAAATCTAGATTGGTAGCAAAAGGTTATAAACAAGTTCATGGTATTGATTACAATGAAACCTTTTCTCCAGTCGCAATGCTTACATACGTTTGGATCCTCCTAGCGATTGATGTATATTACAATTATGAAATATGGCATATAGACGTTAAAATCGCCTTCCTAAATGGTATTTTGAAAGAAACTTTGTATATGACATAGCCTGAAGGTTTTGTTGACCAAAACAATGCTGGAAAGGTATCCAAGCTTAAGAAATCCATTTATGGATTAAAGCAAGCAAGCAGAAGTTGGAATCTGCGATTTGATGAAGCCATTAGTGAGTTTGGTTACAAGAAGGTCAGTGGGAGTGACATCGCCTTCCTAGTCTTATATGTCGATGACATTTTGCTCATTAGAAACAGCATACCATTGTTAGAGTCTGTAAAGACTTGGCTTGGAAAATGTTTATCAATAAAAGACTTGGGAGAGGCTCAGTATATACTAGGCATCAAGATCTATAGGGATAGATCAAAAAGGATGATAAGATTGAGTCAAAGTACTTATATTGATAGGGTACTAACTTGATTCGGCATGGAAGAAGCCAAGAGAGGCCACCTACCCATGTCGCATGGCATAACCCTAAGCAAGAACCAGTGTACAAAGACACTTAATGAGCGAGAAAGGATGAATCAGATTCCATATGCTTTGCTTATTAGATCGTTCATGTATGCCATGATATGTACTAGGCCAGATGTGTTGTATGCCTCGAGCGCTACGAACCGATACCAATCAGATCCAGGAGAGGCACATTGGACTACGACCAAAAATATCCTAAAATACCTGAAAAGGAACAAGGATAAATTCCTGGTCTATGGTGGCAGAGATGAATTAGTTGTTGAGGGTTATACCGACGCAAGCTTCCAGACAGACAGAGACGACTTCAAGTCATAGTCTGGGTACATATTCTGTCTCAATGGAGGAGCGTTTAGTTGGAAGAGTGTTAAGTAAAGCACAAATGCAGATTCTACAACTGAAGCCAAATACTTGGCAGCATCTGAGGCAGCTAAGGAGGCAGTTTGGATTCGGAAGTTCATTGGTGAACTTGGTGTTGTACCCTCCATTGAGGGACCAATAGACCTCTATTGTGACAACAATAGAGCTATTAATCAGGCCAGAGAGCCAAGAGAACATCAGAAGGTCAAACATGTCAAGCGGTGGTTTCACATGATTCGAGAATGGAAATCAGAAGGTGAAATCAGAATTTGTAAAGTTGGAACGAATGACAATGTAGCCGATCCACTAACTAAACCTTTCCCTCAAGTGAAGCACAACAAGCACGTTGAGGCCATGTGAATCAGGCACATTGGAGATTGGCTTTGATTTCCTTATTTTAGTGTTTTAATTAATTTTGGACAATTTTAATGTAAAGCACTATGATGAACCATTTAGTTTTGGAGTAATTAAATTTTTCATGCAATTTAAATCACTCCGTTGACTATTTAGAAGCCTCAAAGAATAAATTTTTCACACTTATGCAATAGATTTGCAATTATGTGAATATATAAACCAATCTTCAAGCACTAATCACTACCAAGTAACCATGCTTAAAGAGGTTCAAAATTGTAAAAAAATTAAGGAAAAAACCATATACATAATCACCAGAAATATGCCATTAATATTCAAGGTTAGAAAGACTTAAAAATTTTCATCAAAACGAAAAATCCCTCAAAAAAGGAATTTCTGGTAGGGTTTTGGCCTAGAACACAGTTTTGAAAGGGAAAAATCATTTCCAGAACACCTGTTCCACCCAAAATTCACTATTTTTGCGTGAAAATCTAGGTTTGGGGCCATAATTAGCTCTAATACGAGCTTAAAAATAATAAAACCGAGCTACTAATCTAATTAGCAACATCAAACCAGAAAAATAAAGCCACAAAAACACCTTGAAAATTATGATTTTAAAAATAAATGAGCAAGGCCCCGATACCGTTGTTGGGTTTTGATGAGTCAAACTCACCACAGTAGAAAACCTGAGCTAAGATCACACTCACAATTAATATGATCACAAGTCATAATTAATTTAATTAACAAGAATTAAGAAAAGATTAATTACCTTTGACCCGTTCTGCGCTCGTACCCTCGACTCTTACTTGAGAAAGCCTTTAGTCTCGCCAATGGTATCAACCCGCAACTCGACCCCGACAAGGTCCAATGCTTAGCGGTTAGCTAAGCCCGACCTAATACTCGAGTAATTATATGTGTTTAAAGGTTTTCTCAATGGAGATGCCTTTTCTAACACCTTACTCAAGTGATTTTTCCCATACCCCTACTTGATTATTTATAGGGAAAACCAAGAGTGAAATCCTCTCTCCCATCAATGTGGGAGAGTTGGTAAAATCAATATTCTTTCTTTATTTTTAAATCAAAAATAAAATTAAATATCAAACAACGAATCAATCAATAAATGGCACATTTAGGAGAAGAGTTAGGTGAGGACCACAAGGAGGGGAGGTGACCAAACTTGATCCCAAGGACCTCATTAAGATTCGGCCACCTACACACCTCAACCACGAATTTGCGACTGCCACATGGCATCCCAAATTGGGCACCAAGGCAGGCCAAGTAGGCTGCTGCCACGGCCTAGCAGCTGCTACCTTGGCTTGCGGCTTGCGGGTGCAGCCTCGGCCCAACTAGCTGCTGGCCATGGCTTGCGGCTTACGATCGTAGGCTCGGCCAAGCTAGCTACTGGCCTTGGCTTGCGGCTGCTGCCTTGGCCCGACTGTCGCAGCTAGCACCATGCTAGCCATGGTGCGCTAGCACGCACCAGCCAGCCTATGCTCAGCTTGGTGTGTTTGCTAGCCACCTTGGCCATACCAAATGCCCCTAGGCATTGATTTGCTCTGGCCATTATGATCTTAGGGTTATTTCGGTAAATTGTTGATTAATTAGTGATTTTACCATCTAGTCCTTTATTATTTTGAATCAATTCCGACGCTCGGATTAGACGCTCCAAACTCGAATTTCCGACGTAGTCCATTTATTAATTACTCGAGTGACTCGTCAACTCCTTCCGAATTAATTCGTCGTGTCGGTTCGTTAGTTGCTTGGGTGTGACCCGAAGAGTTCAGTCAAGATTAAGCTGTAATATAAATTACTCATTGATATTACTGATCGGAAGCAGCCTCCACCTAGGCATTTGGATCACTTGACCTCACTGAATAAGTAGCTTTCTAATAATTCCGAACCCTCTATCGGAATAATACACTTGTTCGATGGACTCCATTCCTATCATGCATACCTACACACACAAAGAAAACCGGGAAGAGATTGGGCCAATGAATAAAATAAATTGAAAATAAATAAAGTAAAGTAAAATAAAAAGACGACACAAACTAAAACTAAGAAAAACAATTAAAACTATACAAGTACATAAAAACAAATAAAATAACAAAATAACTAAAATACTAATAAATAAACCAAATAAACTAAAACATGCCAAAATTACCAAAATAAAAAGAAACTTTATCAAATAGAAAATAAGAGCAAACGAGCCCCAAAATGACTCTAAAACTACTTCCAAAGTGTGACATAAATGTCACTCATCATACCCTTCCCTAAGCTTTAATGAGACAACATGCTCAAACATAAATCAAAGAATCCATGGGAGGGAAAAAGAAAGAAATCATTCCAACCAACCAACACATGTCCAACAAGTCACTAACCATTAAAGAAAGAGCAAGGAAATATATTACTAGATATAGGTGGGTGTAATTACCTGCAAATGACCCAATTTAACCTTTCAAAGTCAATTTTATCCAAAGCTATGCCTCATATGCCATATGTTAGAAAGGAGGAGTCAATCTTCCTTAGTTCTTTATCTAATATTGATGCACCAAATTATGCCAAGTCATGTACCTAGAAAAGGGCACACAAACATCTCCATGTGAGAAATATACTAAAAAGAAAAGAAAGTGAAAAAAATAAAACATGGGTTACTTCCTGAAAAAGGCTTGCTTAAGGTCCTAGCATGACCGCTCTAATAAAATAATATTACAATGAACAGAAGAGTTTATCAAATGCACTTCTAAACATTTCATAGGACAAATGATAGGCAAATGACAAATTCCCATGTAGCATGGGAAATAACTCAACAAGCCCCCCTAGGTGAGTGAATTCCTACGTACGCCTACACATAAGAAGTTATTTTGTAGGAAATACTAATTCCCATGATGTCAAACAAACACTTTTGAACAATTTTTATGCACTTAGCAAGGAAATTTAGTTCATGCTGAAACAAAAATTAAATGAATGTTTATTAAGAGAAGATAAATCATAGGAAAATTTAACATAAGTGGACAAACCTTTGCCCGGTTCTCCAATATTGGACCAACCTTTAAATCTGCCCATATTAAACTTAAAACTTTAACTTTTCCCCCAAAATGGACTGAACAGGTAACGTAACCTGTTGTAACCGGTTTAGGGATGACGTGGCAATTACCGTTGGGTTTGTTTTTTTATTTTATAATTTTTTTTAATTATTTTGATTTCAATAGGAACGGCCTCCTATATTCTTGAACAAAATTGCTCGATTAAAAATCTTCGAAAATCAATTCCTTGAATTAGTCATCAATGGAGAGGTCAAAGCATCAATTTGCAACATCAGGGTCTTCTTCTTCATCAAGGGGAGGGTCAATTGGCAGGATTAAATGTAATTGTGGAAGAGATGCAGTTGTGAGATTGGTGAAGACTGGTCCAAATGTGGGGTTGAAGTTCCATGGCTGTCCATTATGGCCTGTAAGAACTTAATTGGGGCATTAGCGATCTGGTTTATCCAATTTAATTTCATTGAATTATGCTTTTATTAACTAATTGTGGTGTAATGTGCAGGATACGGATTGTGGGTTCTTTAAGTGGATAGGTGGTGTGAGGGATGAAGTTGATGATCTATGGTTTCAATTGTTTGAAAAAGAAACAACCATTGCTGAGTTAGAGATACACAAGAAGATGCTGGAAGATAAGGTGAAGAGGGTTCAGCTTAAAAAAGAGAACTTGGAAGAAGATCTTCAAGAACTAAAGGGGGAAACCAGTCAATTGAGAATTGAGTTGATGAAGAGCGCAAGGAATGAGAGGAATTTTTCTTTGGCTTTGATTTTGTCTTGGGTTTTGTTTGGGATAGTGATTATGTCAATGATGTAGGAGGAACATGAATTTGCAGTGTTGTTGTTTGTTTGTAGTTGTTATTTGGTGATGTTAAGAATGCTTATTCAATAAAAAAAAAAGAGTTCTATTTTGCTATACTATTTTGTTTGTGATATTTGTGCAATAACTGAAAACAAACATAAATAATGTGGGCAATCAAATGCTAAAATAATAGGCTTCCAAAATAATAAGTCAAAGCTGATTAAAAGTACATCAACTTGATTTAGTTCACAGTTGCTTAACAAAAAAACCAAATTGTTCATCAAAAGACATTGTTCACTAATCAAAAGCAACATCAAGAAACATGCTCTTGCCAAAATAAGGGTGCATTACAGCAGCTTGTAGTGCCATACATCAGATGTGGCTTGTTTGAGTGGGGATATCAACCTTGCTGACTTGTGAAGGACCCTGGTGTACATCAGATTGAGAAGGACCCTGGTTATGTACAGAACCATCTGCACCAAACAGGACTCCCTCACCAAGTGGTAGCCTTCCACCTTTTGAGCCCCTGCCACCCCTTGAGCCCCTGCCTCCCCTTGAGCCTCTGCCTCCTCTTGATCCCCTTCCTAGTCCTGTTGTAGATGCACTGCTGCTCTCTCCACCAGAAGCTGAACCAGTCCTCCTTCCTCTATAACCCCTCCCTCCTCTAATCATTCTCCCACCCTTCCCAAGTTGGCTTGGTTGTCTTGTAGCCTCATGATGTGATTGAGCAGCAGCAGGTGTTTGTTGTTGTTGAGGTGCAGCTGCAGTTGCTTGCTTCTTGGTGGGAGGCTGAGTGGCAGTGGCAGTTGGTTGATCACACTTTCTTTTGTTGTGGCCCTTCTGATGACAATTATTGCATGTCATCTCTATCCCTGTTCTAGTGAGGTGACCTGGCTTAGATGGATTTTCAGATGGGTCTTTGATCCTGTTTTTCCTGGGTCTACCAGGCCCTATCTTAATAGGGGGAGGGTCCATAACACACTGAACTGCAGGCCAGTGTCTCTCCCCTTCACAAGGTGGAATTGATCCTGCATTCAAAAAAAAAAGTTAGGACTTACATTTACATAGGTATAACATAAAGTCAGTGTTAGACTAACATTAAGCTTCATACCTGCATATGCTTGCAAATACACCTCCTTCCAGTAACATCTATCAACATAAGACTCAGCTTCTTGGTGCAAGAAAAAAATGCAAGCCACTACATGACAGCATGGTATTCCAACAATGTCCCACTTTCTACATGTGCAAGTTTTTGCTTGTAAATTAACAACCAGAGAATCCAACTTGTAGCTGACGTTAAACAATGTCTCTGATGAAGGCATAACATCACAATATGTAGCCTTATTCTTCTCCTTTTCCAACCTTGTCTGGATGTTTGGACACAAAAAGGAGTTGCATTTATGCATTTCCAGCCTTTTCAGCACAAGCCTCTGCATCAAGTTGGCCCTTATCTCTTCAAGCATGTAAATCAGATGCTTTGTTCTTGCATTGATGATGTAGCCATTGAATGTTTCTGCCATATTGCTTGTGATTGCATCTTTCTTGAATTTTGTATCTAAGTGGGATCTGCAGAACAATTTTGGATTGTATGCTGTAAAAGCATTTGCTGCATCAGGGTCCAGCTTCCTCAGTGCTTCAAGGTTTTCATTGTAATCTGCCATGTTGTATGACTTGGATATTTTCCAAAACATCAGCTTCAGTTCATCCCCTTTGTAAGTCTTGTGTCAGTGAGCATATATGTGCCTAGCACAATGCCTGTATTCTGCCTTAGGGAGAACATTTTTCACAGCATTTAAAATTGCCTGGTAGACATCAAACATCACACATTATCACATCCACACATATCAAAAAAAGAATACATCAACAAAAGGTACAAAAACTCACCATATGTTCATCAGATATGATGCACACACCATCACCATCCCCTAGGCCAAGATTGCTCTTCAGATGCTCAAAAAACCACTCCCATGATAAGTTGTTCTCCCCTTCTGCAACTGCCCAAGCTATAGGGTACATTTGCTCATTCCCATCCCTACCAACAGCTGACAGTAACTGCCCCCCTAAAAAGGTTTTCAAAAAACACCCATCCACACATATCACCTTCCTGCAGCCATCTACCTAACCCTTTTTTGGACCTTCAAAACAAGTAAACAGCCTCTGAAATATGGGTGGTGCAGGCTGCTTGATGAGTTTTGCTACTGTCACCAACTCAACAGAGCTACCAGGGCTGCTACCCTTCAAAGCAGCTATGTAACCTCCAACCTTAGCATAAAAGTCATGCATTGACCCATAAAGCATTATGTGAGCTGCATACTTCACCTTGTATGCAAATCCTCTTTGAACAACTACCTTAAAGGCCCTTCTAATAGTTTCAACTATCTCTTTTGCTGGCCAATGGGGTCTGCTCTTGAAAACATCTAAAAATTGCTTAGCTACCCATTTAGACTTTAACTGTCTATTCCTTTTCATGTTCCTGTGACAAGTGAGCTCCAACTGCACTGTCTTCACAATAAAGGTTGCCCTCCTACTCTCCTAAGCACCATACAAATAGAAAGCACAACCCTCCACACACTTCACACCTAATCTTTGATTTACTTTGATGTTGCTTATATCATAATACAAATCCCTTCCTTGTAAAATAGCATACTTAGATACAGCATCCCTGAAAGCCTCCCTGGATGAAAACCTCTGCCCCACCTTCCAACTGAAAATACTTAAATCAGTGTCTGCACTCACTGAATTCCCAGCCCTATTCCTCCTTTGCTCTCTAGTTTCTTCCTCATCTCCACTATTTGGTGGGGTTATTAAATCATCTTCACTCTCATCATACTCAATAGCATAACCCTCTGCAAATAATTCAGGTGCTTTCCAACCCTCCCTATCAGCCTCACAACCTAGTTTACCCTCAGCAACCTCCTTCTGTAGCTGACTTGCAATCTGCTGTATTGCAGTACAAGTTGTCACCCTCTCCCTTGCTGTCAAAGCCTCCTCATCCACCTCAGAGTCATAACCATCAATACCACCAGCTAACAACTCACCATTTTGCTCTTCATCATCATCCAAATATAAGCTACCATCATATTCATTCCCTTCACCTTTGCCCAAACTCACAACACTTTTCCCTTTATCAACAGCTGGATCATAAAAGGGATCTTTCTCATCTCCCTCTACCTCATCACCCAACCCTAGAATCTCCCCCCAATCCAAAGGACTTTTTGGTCTGTCATCAACCCAAGCATCATCATCATTTAGGAGTGTACTGTTTGAGGTCAGATCTGGAAATGGAGAGTTATCAATAAAAAGAGGGGCAGGCTGGTAGAAGGAAGCTAAAGGAAGAGTATTTTGTTTTGCTTTGCCTTTGTTTTTTGGGAAAACAGAAATAGGTTGGGTAATTGTATCTGTATTTGTGGAAGGACACAAAAAAATTGATGTGGGAGCATCTTTCTGTGAGGGAGCATCTTTTATCATTAAAGGTAATTGTGGGGCCCCCTTTATTGGTAGTTTATGCTGTGCAAAGTCATGGGTCAAAGGTTGTGCATGTTTTTTTGTACTTGTGTTGGAATAGGATCTAACTTAGGTAATTCAACCCCTTTATGTACATATATCTCTTCACACCTAAACTTCAGCAGCATCTCCCTCAACCTATTCACTTCATTGTCAGAATAAACCTTTCTCAACCCACTCTCTAATGGCTCCCCTGGTTCCAAATACAGCAAAGACTCTACATTTTCAACCCCACACTATTTTGCATAATCCTCTAACCACCACCAACATAACTGATCAGGATCAATACTAAAAGTCCTACCCATTCCACCCTCATACACTAAAGTACCATCACGCGAGGTTTTAAAACGCCCCCCATACCAGTACTTAAGAGTTACAACAGCGAAAGGATCATCCATCTAGCATTAAACATAAAATTACCATCTTTCAGACACAAATATAACAACAATAGCAATAACAATCACATCCGCAACTAAACCTAACTACAAAACACAACCAAAAGAGTGCAATTTCAATGCAAAAAATTCAAAATTTAGCCCACAATTTTGCACAATTCAGCATAATTAAACTAATTTAGGGTTTTCCGAATACGTACCATTGATAAATCGAGGAAGTGAACATCGAAAGACCTTCCCCAGCTTCAAAATCACTTCAATGGTTACACGAATCCAATACAATTGCAGAGCCAATTTAGGGAAAAAAATTTGGGGACCAGCAATTAGCAGAAAGGGAAAGAAGAGTACGGATTGAAAGCGAAAGAGAGTGAAATTTGGGTAAAAAGAAGAGGTGAGGGGTGCTTTTTTGAGCATTAATGGCTGATTCGACACAGTTGGTTGAAGAGAGTAATGGCGCTTCAATTAGTTTGGGAGGGAAACTAACTTCCCAAAGGTCAACATGCATTCTGTTGACTTCGCAAACCGGTTCCCAGTCACCACAGTCCATTTTGGGAGAAAAGTTAAATTTTTAAGTTTAATATGGGCAGATTTAAAGGTTGGTCCAATATTGGAGAACCGGGCAAAGGTTTGTCCACTTATGTTAAATTTTCCTAAATTATATGCTTCCTTCAAGTACCTTTTTAGTATCTTGTCGCAATGCCTTTAAAGTTTCTACATACTCACAGGAATCTTAACCAATTATATGTTGGGTGCAAACTGCAAAGAATAATACAACCTTGATTGGGTGCACTCTATATCACAAACTATTAAATTCAGTGCAAAAAATATCATAAAAGACATCAAAGACTGGAGATTTTTCCGAAGAGTATAGTTTCAAAAATATATATGTATAACCAATTTTCACATTTTATTTTTAATTTTCTCTCACGTATATGATTACTTTACTACACTAAGGACAAGCCTCCTATTATTATTATTATTATTATTCACCCGTTACCCCCAAGGTAAACGAGTACTAAAATCCTAAGTAGTCAATCGGCACAAGTTATTCTTTAATCTTTGGTAAATTTTTAAAATTTAATTTTTATCTCTTTGTTGAATACATGCATTTGGTTATTTGTCTTTTTTTCATAATTTCATTAAATTAGGATATTAGTTGGTGTTATGATGATTTGTTGAATTTTTTATGTTATTTGGTTGAATTTGTATTAATTTGTGTTGTTAAATTTCGATTTATTTTGCCAACATATTCCATCTGTTGCAATTTATCATGATCATATCATTACAAAATAAGTT